GAGTAGATCTCTGCAAACTGCCGACTTCTAAAGTAGCTCTTGGTTCAAAAAAGGTTGGGCACCCCTGCCATAACATCTTTAAATCATTTCTGAGTCTCTAACCCCATTGCTTCGACAAATTACATCAAGTATTGAGCTCCAGCGTTTAAACTTTGTTGTTTTTTTTTTTTTAAAGGAGCTCCGATTGTAAAGTAAAATAAATCAATACATACAAAATTTTAGTATGGATTACAAACGTTTACTGTTTTTGCTATTGCCTTCCTGCTACGTAAGCAGACACAAAGCATTGTGGGAAATCAGAACCGTGACTGAAAGCAACAGTCAGGAAGGATGTATACCTTCCCAATGTGTGTTTATCTGGGATGGGTGCTTTTGGATAGATTACGTGTGTTGTGATTCATTGGCTGTGTCCAAAACGACAGGACGGGTCCTCCGAAGGCCGAATTCATCGGCTGCATACGTCACAGCCCCGCAACGAAGGACGTTCAAAACCGAAGACTCCTCCGATGCGGCCGACAAATACGTCCTTCCTTTTCCCCGATTTGAAGGACAGGTCTGATGGATCCTTCCCAGCCCAGCATATCCCATAATGCATTGCGGCCCGACCGGAGATTTTTTTAAGCTAGTAATGGCGGAGGAAGCGAGAGAAAAGAATATGTTTTAAATAAAAATATGGTGATATGGAAATTTAAAAAAAATAGCGGTTGTAATTCTAATAACATGCACCTACAGCGGGTCAATTAGTTCTTCAAACGTTACCTTTGTTAATTTTATAGTTTTGTGATATTAATAATGCTAATGTATTGATAATTTTCTAGTTTTGATTTAAGTTTGCTTGTTTAGCGTCGTCACAGTTGCTAGGTGACATGAGGTACGCCGGGGTAAGGAGGGGAGGCTAGACCGTCCAAATTCACAGCCTCTTTTTTTCCGGTCTTCCTGGTCTACCAAGGACCCAGCCTGCCTCGACCGGGTAGTCTGGGTCCTCCGGAGGACCCGGCCTGTCATTTTGGACACAGCCATTGACAGCCATACGTTCCGCTGTTCAACATAATGACTGGTAGATAATTAGTTATTAGCAGTACTGAATTTTAATTTTAGAAAGCACAAATTCGCTTATGAATTATAAAAATTTGTAAGTCCGCTAAAGCGCAAAATGAAATAATTAGGTCCACAATTAGCGGATTTGTGCTTTAGTGAGCTGGTGCCCACCACTGGTTATAGCCATCTTACATTGRTTCAGCTAAAATATTGTAGATGTACCCTTAAAATAATGATTAATAGATTAATAACTATAAAATCAAATGTTTGTACCTGACAGAGGACAGCTTCTCCTCCGTCAGCGCCGTGGGTCACCCTGACAATAACCATGTCCCTCTGCTGAGGGAGGTCACTTTGCAGCTCCCCCCACAGCTCCACTTCTCCTCCTCCTCGAGGGTCCCTGATGTAGACTTTTCCACATGCCACGATGTTCAACCTCAGCTCTGTGCTGTCCTTACAGGTAAAAACCAGCCTTCTGACCTGCAGCCGCTCTCTTTCCTGGACTTCCAGACGGAGACCAGCCGGGCACAAGGTGGAGCCCAGTCCCAGAACCTTTCCCCCTTCACTCAGGTAGGTGAGAAAACGTGTCTGCAGCTCAGGAGTCAGACAGCCCTCTTCTGCCACGACCAGGAGCCTGGTGTTGTCCAGCCAAGGATCACTTAGTGCCTGCTGTGGCAGGAGGTGGTAGATGATGTTGGTTTCACTGTTTATACACTCTGATAAGAGCTGGTGAACTGCCTGAAAACGCTGCTGGCAGCCACCTGTGTACACCAGAACATTTGGCAGTTTGCGCGTACAGTCAAAACCGGTGCTACAGAAATCTTTAGCATCATACTCCAGTTCATCTACACATCCATCGACACTGTCCTGTCCAACAGAGTTATCATCAGGGAGGTCTGGAATGTTCTCCGCCGAGGCATTTTTTACTGACAGGATGGTGCTGTTCTCCAGCTCCAAACATTCATGGCAGCTGGACAGATGGAGGTGGTGTCCATGGCTTTCCATGTGCTGAGGATGTAAAATATGCTCCCCCAACTCACCAGCAGCGCCGAGATCCTGAGTGCCGGGGAGCGGCTCTGACCCCCGACGCTCTTCTACCTGCCTTTTCACTCCAGCGGGGAAGAACAGGCTGCCTTTACGCCACTGTGTGTGCTGCTGCTCAGGCAGCAGGAGATGAGGGAACGATTGTGAAACCTTCGCTGTCAGGGTGAAGGAAGGGGTCCGCGCCGTTTTTGTKTTGTGCTGAGTCCGCCTCTCCAGCAGCGTGCTCAGAGTCGATTCCTGAAGGAGTACAGCTGCAGAAAACAAACAAAAAGTGTGTCTGCTGAAGTATAAAACATAAAAAATGTACCAAATTTCAGCATTTTTTGAGGTTTACACTCAGTGCACGTGTTTGAGGAGCCTAACCATCCTGCTGCCCTTGGGTCAAAATGACCCACGAGGTCTTAGTTTTAAAGGGATCCATGATTAGTTGTAACATTAAACTTGATTTGATAAACATTTATTTTCACTGTAAAATAAAGACTGTAAAAATACTGTAGGCTGTTTAGTTTTGTAAATTTTTTAAATATATTTTAACACGGACTGAGCCATTTTATTTA